ATTTAATCACTTCTATCCCAAAGAGACATGGTTTATATTTTCTAAATGCAAAACCTTTACTTGGATTTTCAGCAACAGTTTTAGATGATAAAAATAATCTTGCAAAATTATGGTCTTGTAGACTTGGTCATATTGGGTTGAAAGGGTTAAAGGCTTTACATAATAAATGTGTATTTGGAAAACTAAACATTGGTGACTTGTCTAATTGTGAACGATGTTTGGTAGGAAAACAAGTTAAGTTACCTTTTCCTGCGAATACTCATAAATCAAAGCAAATTCTGGAATATTTACATGCTGATTTGTGGGGTCCTTCTCCCTACATTGTCTGGTTATAAATATTACTTGTTGATTGTTGATGATTTTTCAAGGAAAATTTGGGTTTTTCTATTAAAAACCAAAGATGAAACTTTTACTATTTTCAAAGATTGGAAAACTCAAATTAAAAATTAAACTGACTTGAAAATCAAGACTTTAAGAACAGATAATGGTCTAGAATTTTGCAACTATGAGTTTGATAATTTTTGTAAATAGCATGGTATTTTAAGACATAAAACTGTAACCTACACACCCCAACAAAATGGCATTGCAGAAAGGATGAATAGGACTATATTAAATAAGGTTAGATGCATGCTTTTAAGTTCAGGCCTGCCCAAATTATTTTGGGGTGAGGCTGTAAAAACTGCTGCATATTTGATCAATCGAAGTCCTACAAGTGCTTTAAACTATGTTGTGCCTGAATCTGTGTGGACACAAAAGCCTGTTACTTATTCTTACTTGAAAACATTTGGTTGTGCTGCATTTGCTCAGCAAAACATAGGGAAACATGAACCTAGATCTGTAAAGTGTGTGTTTTTGGGCTATGCTGAAAATGTTAAAGGATATAAGCTGTGGGTTTATGGGAAAAAGGGTTATAGAGTAATAATAAGAAGGGATGTGGTCTTTAATGAATCATGTATGCCATGTTTGGAAGGGAAGAAAGGGAACTTAACTGAAAATGATGTCCAAATTGAGGTGAAGCCTACTAAAATTGATGATATCAGTTCTGCCCCTCTAGAAACTGAATGTACAGAGGCTGACCAGAATGAGAATGAGCCTGATTTGACTGAATCTAATCAAGGTGATGACTTAATTCCACCCCTAGATGAGTACCAGCTCACTAGAGATAGGGATAGAAGGCAAATTAGACCATATGCTAGGTTTAGTAGTGATGACTTTGTGTCTTTGTTCACTTACCAAGAAGAAATTGAATCTGAACCTAGTTTCTATAATGAAGCCTTGAAATCTAAAGATTCTAAGCGGTGGTTGAGTGTTATGGAAGAAGAAATGTCTTCCTTATACAAGAATGAAACTTGGGAATTGGTTGACAAACCAAAAGATAAGAAACTAGTTGATTGCAAGTGGATTTATAAAATAAAGGAAGGGGAAGGTGGCACTAATAATGTTAGATACAAAGCTGGACTACTTGCCAAGGGTTTTACACAAAAGGAGGGTGTGGACTATGATGAGATTTTTTCCCCCATGGTCAAATATACAACTATAAGATGTATTCTTGCTTTAGCTGTGCAATTTAAATGGAAACTTGATCAATTGGATGTAAAAACTGCTTTTCTTTATGGTGAATTGGATGAAATTATCTACATGAATCAGCCTTTAGGATTTATAAAAGGAAATCCTGAAAAAACTGTGTTTGCTAAAAAAAATCTTTATATGGCCTAAAACAAGCTCCAAGACAATGGTATAAAATATTTGATTCATTTGTCTTGAAACTTGGGTTTAGTAGAAGCAATTATAATACATGTCTTTATTATAAAGGAAGTGGTGATAAAGATTCTTTGTATCTTGTGCTTTATGTTGATGATATGCTTCTTGCCAGTGCCAATAAAGCTGAAATTGATGATATCAAACACAAACTAAAATCAGAATTTGATATGAAGGATCTTGGTTCTGCTAAGAAGATACTTGGCATGTATATTAAAAGAGATGAAAAATCTGATTGCTTGATTTTATGTCAAGAAGAATATGTGAATAAGATCCTTAAGAAGTTTAATATGTTTGATTGTAAGTCTGTGACTTTACCCCTTGCTAATCACTTTATTCTAACATCTGATTCATGCCCTAAAACTGAAGATAAACTTGAAAGAATGTCTAAAATACCTTATGCCAATGCTATTGGTTCAGTCATGTACTTAATGATTTGCACCAGATCTGATTTGGCATTTAGTATTAGTGTTTTGAGTAGATTCATGGGGAATCCTGGTGAAACACATTGGGAAGCCTTAAAATGGTTAATGAGATACTTAAAAGGTTCATCCAACCTAGGTTTGATGTTTAAAATGGATAAAGAAGGGGTAATTCTAAAAGGTTATATAGATTCTGATTTTGCTGGAAATAGAAACAATAGGAAATCCACTTCATCTTATTTTTACACTTTGTGTGGCACTGTGATAAGCTGGAAATCTCAGTTGCAGAAAATTGTTTCTTTATCTTCCACCGAAGTTGAATATATTGCAGCCACTGATGCCATCAAAGAAGGCATCTGGCTGCATGGTTTGTTAAATGAACTTGATTTTGTAGATACTAATCCGATTTTGTAGATACTAATCTAATTCTGTTTTCTGATAATCAAAGTGCAATCCATTTGAGTAAAAATCCAATGTTCCACAGTAGAACAAAACACATTGATGTTAAATACCATTTTATAAGGGATATTATTTCAAAAGGATTGCTGAAAATAAATAAGATTTGTACCTTGAACAACCCCTTAGACATGGGAACTAAAGTAATACCTTTAAACAAATTTGAAAATTGTTTGACGATATTATCCATTGATTCTTTATATTGAATGTACAGGTACACCGAGCATATGAAACTATAAATGCTAGTTAAGCTCATGGCTACACTATATGCCTTAAAATTATGGAAGCAAGGTGGAGATTGTTGGGAGTCGAACTGCTGATCACTTTGATTTAAATTGTGTTTCTACAATTTTAACTAAAAGCGTGTTTTGTAAAGTGACACTTTACTAATGGAAGGAGTCAACTGGATTGTGACACATGCTGATCTCTTGGCCGTTGGATCTGATTCTAGATCATTCTATATATTTAACCCTAAATGGTTTGGGTGGCTGTTAGTTTTTCATTTTTACTCCATTCGGCTTCTCGAGTTCGAGGGTTTTTTTGAGTCGCCTCTCTTTCTCTCTCGATGAATCTCTCATTTTGGCTCTATTCTTGAATGATTTTCAAAACTCTTTCTTGAGTTAATCCAGAATATGTTATAGATCTCTAAGCTACTGAACTGCCGTGTTGAGTTTATGGAAACCTGAGTGGTTTCATGTGATGTGCAGTCGGGTTTGATGAAATCTTGGTGATTTCTTGTGTTTCATGTGTGGAATAGCTTACATATTGTATAATGACTTGTGAAGTCATGTGATTCTTGGATGGCAGTACCTGCGACTTAAGTGTCTGAGTGATCTGTTCGTGGTTTCTTCATGAACTGTGGTCTGCCTTGGTGAATCTTTATGAGATAAGTCTTTGTGACTTGTATATTGTAATATTCTGGAAACATTGTATACTTACTGCCTGATTTTGGGGGCCTTATAGTGCAACCGAGCTGAATCCATTGATAGTGGGTGCTCAACAGGGGATTAGGCACTTGTGCTGAACCTCTGGGGCTTCGGCCAAAAAAATCACCGTGTTCATTATTTTTGCACTTTTATTTTCTGCATTTCTTGGTTCGGTTTCTATGAAAGTTGGTTAATCTTGAGTGTCTCGACATTTCATATGTTCAACGAAAGGTAAAATTAAATGATTTATTTAATTGTCCTCTTATTTAAAGCCACATTAGTACCTCATTGACTAGTGTTTAACACAAGTAGTGTTAAATAACATTACTTATCGTGACGGTGTGATGAGAGGTCAGGTTGTTGCGAAGAAGCGAGTTGAATGAGTTGACATTGAAGACTAGACTTCAAGGATGGTAAGACAAAAGATTTCTCACCTACTAAATCGATCAAGTCTCAATATTACACTATCAGTCGAGTTACATTATTTCATGGGTGATTATTACTTCATCACATTTTTTATTTGTTGCATTGTATTCTAATTGACTAAACCTCAATATTTTATCATTGTAACAATTATATAACCAACATTTTTCATCACATTCTTGTCTTCAACATTTTATTAATTAGCACGGATTTCCTTAAAAAGGTCCATGAGAGAACATAAAACAATTTATATGCCTTTCATATTTTAAAAGAACCAAGTATGCAAAAAAATAAATAAATATTTTATCTCATTTTAAAGCATACGAATAGAATATTTTGACATAATCATCATAAAGGACGAGTTGTACCAATCAATGGAAGGTTGAACGAATTTCATGAAAAAAGTTAGGTATATAAGTTGATGCGAACATTATCCTTTATTTTTATGTTTTGTTATAGGGCTTGTAATATTGGTTAGCCCAAACCCATTTACTTTCTATGTTGGTTTCTCTATTTATATGGTTTATATTGAACGTGGAAAAACAATTGATGAATGATTGAAATGAAATAGGGTTTGGCTTGCAGTAAAAAGCTTTCCCCCTGGTTTTTCCTCAGATTTCCTACCCCTTTCTTTCTTTTCTTCTTCTTCTTTCCATTCTTTTTGTAATTCTAACCATATTCATCTTCCATTCTTATTCTGTTTCTGTACTGCTCCTTTGTGTCTATTTTCTTGCTATAAATCTAATTATCTGCTGGAAACTCAATCTTTGCAGCATCAAATTTGGCATTATAGCTAAACATGAGAATTACTTTATCAACAACCCTTAGCCCACAATCTTTTGTCCCGACTACACAACAATCTTCCGTATCAATCCTAGCCACCAAATAACCGACATGGTTATTCTCCAAAATCCATCTTCTCCGTATTTATCAATCCCAACCACCAAATTACCGACATGGTTATTTACCAAAATCCAGTGCTACCAAAATCGCTTATACACTAACCGCCCAATCGATCTATAACTCACTATACCTGATCTCCTCCAGCAGAAATATCCAACTTCTATTGCCTCCAACTGTAAAAAATTCCAACCACCGCTATAGCCAAGTATCCATTTTCCAATTCGCAATAATAACCAAACCATCGATCTTTCCAAAACAGCCCACTATTGACAACAGACACAAAAACCTAACGCAGTAAACCACAGACTTGTGCTTCAACAAGTCCACCAAGTTCACCTACTCGAACGCTGCCCAGAAAATTTCAACTAAACCACAGAAGCATAGATACTTCCATATGCCGTCGTCGCTTCCTCCAAAACTACATAAGCAACCAAAGAAGGAAATTTTGTGGAGAGAGCTTAACTTTTGTTTTTAACTCCACAATATTCCTATCGCTATGGGCCACGTCTCCCATTGAATCAGATGGAAACTCTTATCCTTCGCCACAGTTCTCACTATCGTAGAAAGTTACCAATTGGATTTGGAGAAAAAAAACATATTTTAGGTGTATTATTTACACAAATTCAAAAATTAGATAGATAATTTAAACATTCAAAATTCAGATATATATAGTCACACAAGTACGTAAATAAAGATCACAATTAATTTATTGGTCACATATTACCGAACTAAATAGTCACATATTATTTCGAGGTCATAAATCAAAAATTTTATAGATCGCAGTTTATTTCACTGGTCACAAATCAAAAAAATTATAGGTCATAGTTCATTAATCAGTTATAGATTTTTAATTTTTTTGGTCACAAGTTATCAAATTTTAAGGTTTCGTTTAATATTTGGTCACAAATAACCAAATAAGTGGTCACGTACACCAAATATTGGGTCACATACCACCACCACCAATAGCCACTTGCGACTACCCTCACCTGTTCAGCACTACAACACCACTACCACACACCAACGCCATTACCATCACTAGCCGCCACCACCACTATATATAAAAAAAGAACACCACTACCAGCATCGTTCTCACCACACCACCAACAAAAACCATCGCTAGCGCCTGCATACCACCACTACCAACAAACACCCATATCCCATGTCATCCCATCAACAACCAGTGCTGCCACTTGCACAACCACTGTCACCCAAAAATCAACAACAAATCAGATCCCGCTACCAAGACCACCACTATAGCCACCTTCAAGATCTAAAAATACAATCAACAAAACCCCAAAAATCATAGATCAAAAAAGAGAAAGAGATAACACCCCAAACCTATCCCCACGTCGGCACCATTCGCCGTTCAAACTTGCAAGCGCCACATACTTTTTTCGTCGTTTGTACCAGTCGTCCTTCAAATCAGCAGCGTCGACCAATAGCAGCGTTTCCATTCGCATCAATCACCGTTCGCATCGTTCATAGCAGCGTCACCATTTAAATCAGCAACGTCGGCCGTTAGAACTAGTCCCCAATGTTAGCAGCGTCGACCGGCTACTACTACCATGTCGTCACCATTCTCATACACTTGACTGGAGTTGAGAGGAGATATGAAGAGGGAGACGGTAGGGAGAGAGAGAGAGAGAGAGAGAGAGAGAGAGAGAGAGAGAGAGAATAATTTAATCATAGTTATAAAATTCAGCCCAATCGGCCCAACATTTTCATAGAAATGCAATTGACTCGATCAAAATTAAGTTGACCTTGTTAACTGGGCAATTTTTATATTAAATTGGCTGGTTGACTGGTTTGACCAAGATTTAAAAATTTGTTCATAAAATTTTTGCTCTTAAGAGATTTGAACCTTGGAACTCTAGGTAAAGTGAGTACAATGTAAACACTAGAGATTAATTGTTTATTGTTATATATTTTCAATAAATATGTATAAGTAAATCATTTATAATTTGTTAGAAATATTTTTTTAAAAATTAGAGTAATTATTTTAATTAAAATGAGTTGAATATTTAACAAAATAATATATAAGTATATAAATAATTAATGACAGATAATTTTAAATTTTTTATTTTATCTAAAAGAAAAACTTTATACTTAAATTTTTTTTTTTTTATAATTATTAAGCATTGACCTACTGATCTTTCCACTAATCCACCGATTTGACCAGTAATCCAAGACTTGGTGCCTTGATCGGGTCGATGGTTAGGTTGGGTTTAATAACTATGAGTTTAATTGTAGGTCCATTTTATTTATTAAACCAAAAACGTAAGTTAAGTGCCCAAATATTTTGGACCTCTTATTTAGTCCCATTTTGTTGTTTTGTTGTTGCTTTTTAAAGGATAACAAGGCCCAACTCAAAAAAAAAAAAAAGAAAAATTTTTTTTAGATTTTTGGGTTTAAATCATGAAAACCAAACATTAGTTGCCATTTTTTAACAAATGGAAGAAATCTTATTCAATCTTTGTTGCCTTTTAATGAGCTCCTATTGTTACTTGAAAATACTGAGTATTTTCTTTCATAGGTGGACCAATTGCTTGTTGTTTCCATGCTCACGTCTATTAATACACTTAGCACGACATTGGTATCAAATAAGTTATTAAGACATCCTGATTCCATTATACAAATAACAGTTGTTTCTTGTCTTAGCAAAATATTTTGCATTACAGCACCCGATCCTTTTTCTGTGATGAATTAATGCAAGATATATTTCCGTGAATATATCATCATTTGCATCTCTCATGGGCACATCCATCAATTGTTATGCTATGGTAATTAGGATACTAGATACTATGGCTAAGGCGAAGTACTTTCCTATCATGTTGGAAATAGATTGCGAGTAAATGATAGTTGACATGTTCCGACACTTTCTTTGGGCTTTAAAAGGAACTCTTTTAGAGAATGACTTCACGTCCATAGAGACTATTATGGCCCTTAAATTGGAAGAAATTGACAATATCCCGCTAGACCTAATTATCCTTCTTTTGAATTGTGATCAAAATAAACATAAGGAGGCTTCTCCTACTATATTTAGTATAGTAGAAAGACTTTTTGAGAAGTGCGCTGACACGATCAAACCTTTCTTGTCACAATCTATAAAATTTTTAGGGATTTGTTTAGATGAATATAGTGCAGCTTTTTCCTCCATTTTCATGGAAGTTGAGAGTCATAAACTGTGTATTTTGTCCCCTATCGTGACCACATTTGCGGGCTAATACACTTAACATTGACATAGTTGAGAAAGTATCTAAAGCAATGTCATCGAAATCAAACATTTCAGTTCTAGATCTTATGACTGCTATGTTGCACGACTTTCATTACACGAGATTCCACGGGTTACTACATTATTCTCTGAGGCCATTACTCAATTGCACACTCTTCCTACTGACATTAGGAGGTTACCCACTAATTATTGACATGATGTGTCCGTTTATCATTCTGTTGATAATGTTCTTAAATTTCATGACAAGTTAAAAGGTCAAATCATTTCTAATCATCAATTTTTGTACTTTCAACTTGCAATATAAGTTAGGGTATTCTTATTATAACCACTATACTTCATTCCATGTCTCCTTTATCCGATTTCCAAAAAATGTGAAGAAAATGCTTGTTGATCACTCATATAAAGAGTTCCTATTTGACTGGCCATCTCATTTAAATAAAAGTTATATTTTCAATGTAGAAGAATTGTTTTCTAGTTATGCACAATCACATGAAGATTTTGGAGATGAGTTGCATGAGTGTTTACTATTTGAATTTCAATATTTGATTCTTTAAGAAGATCGTTTCCCGTGGTATGAGTTCAAACACTTAG